GAACACGTCCATTGTGCGAATGTATTATTGCAGAAAAATACATATCGCCCAAGTACCTATATTGTATACGCACTATCATTGTAGTATTGCACAGCCTGTACACATATAAACATAAACGGATACGAAATGCCATGCTCCAGCTACGGTTTCGTGTCGTAGACGTTTCTTTTTATTTATAATATACGAAATCGTGAATCTTATGAATAAAATATAATGTATAAATTCACCTCAACCCGTAAAATGTACCTACATTTATAAGCGATTTTGAATTTATTTTCATAATAATTGAATATCTTACAATATTTCCCTCGTTTTTCAATTCAATTTTATTCACCAGTACTGCTTTTAATAAAACCGAACGTAAGAATATTCATTTCTTTCAGAAAATATTAAATTGAACGATTGTAAAATTATCTGTAAATCCATAATATTTAAGGAAAAAAAAACTTTATAAGTAATTTTATTTGTCAGTGCTTTTGATAAAATATCTGCATGTAAGAATGTTCCCGTATTTAATAGAATTTAAATACCTTTATAAATCCACAGTATATTTAAAAAAAAAATCTATTCAGTTTATGACTACGTACTACGTACCATTATATAGCTAAATAATAATTTAATTCAGTACCTTTGCACTTATTTTCTGTTTCGTGTTAATATTAAAACAAGTAATATTACAAATTGTTTTTTGTTCTTAATTGATTTATGTTAAATTAAATAAGCACAATATTTTTTATGACGTTGAACTATAAATTGTTATACTTTAAAAATTATTCAACATTTTTAAGCAACATATTAAATTGTACAATCAACTTTGTTAACAAATGTAATTAATTTCAAAGAGTTACTTATTTAAGATTGTCAAAGAGAATAAAATAAATATATAACAGGCAACAGGCATCATTGATATCAAGTTAAAAATTAAGTTAAATGAATAATAACCTTTGTTATGAAAACATTTTTTTGGGATGAAAGGTATGTAAAATTATTTATCTATAATAATCAATGCGTTATACTAATATTTTATGTTTTACATAAACATAAAACTAATACTTGAATCCATGAATTGTATTGAATATGTTAAAAACTTAAAAGTATAAGATTTTAACTAGGCCAATCAAATGTATATAGTTAATTCAATTAACAAACTATATTACAGTTAAAAACTCGAAATATTGGTTAAGGCTACGAGTGATATCAACTTCTAGATATAAGTATAAAGATGCTTTTATTAAATACTATAAAATATTTTTATAAGTTAGGTAAATACTAAATGTTGACGGTTGAAGAAAACTGAAAAGGCATTCATAATATAAACTCATAATACCTATCAAGTATGTTCGCGTTGAACACCATCACCTAAACGTTTAAAGTGGTGTAGATAAAATTATAAATATGTATACATATCGTTAGTATACGGTTTTCTGGTTTCGAATAAAAAATAACACTGAATGTCACTTAGTTAGACGTACACGTTATAAATTCAGAGTAGGTACATCATATATAAAAAAAAAAAAATGTTTTGACAAAGATTTTATTCGCAACTCTTATACAGTTATATTATGCGACAAAATATAGTAAAATGATTAACAGGTTTATAATATTATATAGTTATTATATCCAAACAATATTATTGTTATTGTTATACAGAAGAAGATAATAAATTAAGTTATGTTTTTTTCTTTTAATCTTATTAATTTATAAAACACACATACATTGAATATCGATTATAATATAATAATAAGATAGTATAATAATATATTACTTAGGTAAAACTATATTATTATTATGTTTTCGCATCACTATAGTAAAACTATGATTTTAAGTGTAAAATGTATATAACGGTATAATATACCATGAAACTTAATGCTAATACTAACTGAAATTATGTTTAAACATTGAAATTGTGTTGTACAATATAATAAGCTTCTATGCCAGATATCATATAATATTATTGTACATAAATAATATTCTACAATAGAGCGTAGTACAATACAATAAAAATGTATCTTTATTCTTTGGTATCTCTAGCCTAGTAGTTTCTATATAATTAGAAATGCGCATTTCGTAGGTATTAGTATAATAAATAGGATATACGTAATAAGTAAGTAATAACAATAAACATTTAAAATATCTCGTTTGGTTGTTAAGCCAAAGATCACGAGAAATCAAAAATCAATAATACAAATAATTCAACAAACAAAGAAGACTTACACTAATATAATATTTTTTATAAAGTAGTGTCGGACTACAATAAATTATTGTAATATTAACACAACATATTATTATCCTAAAATGTCAACTATAAACTATTTTTAAAAATGTAATTTTTCGCTACATAATTTTAGACTAGAAACGTGTACATAATAGTGATGGTAGTGTTAAAAATTACATATTTACAATAAATAATAATAATAATAATAATAATAATAATAATAATAATAGTAAAAATAGTTATAATAACATAAAAGCTGTGGGGAGGAAAGACATAAAACCCGTAAGGACATTGAGACATCTGCAAAATGCCAATACTCATAGAAATGATTAATAAGAGATTTGATTATAATAATATATTGACACAGACTATATGAAGGTGGATAGTGATGTCGTTTATACATTCGGGAATACTAAAACTGTAGTGACTATACAATTTATCATCATAGCCATAAAATGTGATTTAATAAGAAAAGAAATGTGTATCATTTTAACATAATATTATAAGGATAACCGACTAGTGAAATATTATAGTGTACTTATAGTTACTCCATGTAAGAACGGCGTATGTGCAAACACGACAAAAGTATATATTATTATAATATTAAATATACAACATTTTATATTTATTATACAAAAACGATTTGAATTCTCCCTGCGGAGGGGAATAAAAACGTCATAAACATTATACAACTACATCTGTAGTTGACAGTTTTGATCGTGTCTCGATATTTTGTACGCACACGTAATAATATACAATGGTTGTTATAACTTTAAATAATTATAAATTTATTATAACTTTATGCACACTGTGACGGTAATGAAATTAAACACGTATCGGCGAGTGTCATTAAATCGACTTGTTATCCGGTATAACAATGTTGTTCAAAAACCACAAATATAAACAAATTATTTGTGGATTAACGATTTTTAATAGAATGATGGAGTCGGGTGTATAACATCACTAATCAACAGTAAAAACACAAACGTGTATAATATAGTATAATATTACGATTTTTCTAAAATGCTCGTCATTAGAGAACTATATAGTCTGAAATAGATGTTTGTCGACTTTTGAATGATTAAATACAATTTTAGTTACCTAATTTTAGGTATAATGTAAAAATTCGCCGGATTTCAATTTCATATAAAGAATATCGAGTAAGAAATATTATTGTGCATGTTAAATGTTGGATGCAGAGAAGTCAAATAACACAATTTTCCAGATAAAAACAGAAACGTTTTATAAAAATCTCGACGGATCAACTAGACTTGCACTAAACGATTTTCGACTTATCTCTTCGCTGTTATTGTATATTTAAATCGGACAATCAGACTCGTTTTGAGAGGTGACGATGTCTCAATAGAAAGATGAATGCGCAACTAGCATGTAACTAGCCCGTGTTTACGACGATGCTATTTTACAAGTCTCAACCGACAACGAAGTGTAAACGTGTGATTAAATCGTGTTTCCTAAACAATTACTATGACTATGGTTAAATAATTAGTACCTACTGACGTTGGAGTACTTGTAAATAAATTGTTTTAGAAACGTATCGAAACAAAATCAAATCGAAACCACAAACTCTATAAATTCAATTTGCGAGTTTTTAACTGTATAGACGCGTCTCACAAACATTCTAATAAGACAGGTATAAAGTCGCTTCATTTTCATTTTAAATAACCTTTCAGAGTTCAGACTGTGTGTGATCATTTTTTTTCAAAATATAATATATTAAAAACTCTTTTTATGAAGTAATATTTTTGCGGTTAATAAAAATCGTTTTGGATGTCATCCGTTAAAGCTGTGCCCGGATCATTTATATAGTGGTTTTCGATTCTATAAAAAAAAAACAAAACTCATAATGTCGTGGTTTTTCATTTAAATATTTTTTGTAACGATTTATCATAGTGTTAATGATGCATATATAGGTACACATTTTAGTTTAAATGTACTTATTTGAAAATTATCATTTACATATTATTATCAATCATACTATTATATTGTATTGTTATTGATTGAAAGATTAAAAAAAAAGTTTTAGTTAAAAAGAGAATCTATTTTGTTTTTTCAATCGAATAGAATCGATTAATCGTTTGATATTCTAAAGCAGTCGCAACAAAAACGAAAACTATCTACAGTCAACAATACATTTTAATATTGTTGTAAATTATAATTACGTGTAGGTATGCAATTATTATGACGAGCGGAACTCGCCATAATATACAAAGTCCAAGCAATTTTAGGATGGGTAGGATGGAAATGGGCTGTAAAGAACACGACGAAAAGTTGCGCCAAGCAGAGGGGAAGGCTAAGCGCCCGGGCATACTCTGCTCTCGGATACGAATTTGATTGACTGCAAGTATGATGCACGGGAAGCCAGGCATGGGATTGCTGATTGGTCGAATTGGATGTGGTCCGAGGGCCACCTAATGGGACTTTGCCGCCCACGCTAGTGAAACAATAAATTGTGAGCATCCCGTCTGCGCGGGAGGACAACAGAGTCGTGGATATATTTTAATAACAAACGATATGGTGACAATTATTAGTGGAGTACCTACATGATAATATGGGTAGAGGTGGTTAAACAGAACTTACCATGTCGTCGGTTCGAAATGAAAAAAAAAAAAATTCGGGAAATTGGGTTACACTGTGCTTCACTACGTCATAATATTACAATGTTATCATATTATGATATAATACTATCACTAATACCATTACACACGATGGGGTCGGAGGCGGTGGCGGAGGCGGTCGGGACAGGAGCGAAGACTTCGCACGTGGCTTAACGTCGGGCGGCGGCAGTAGCGACGGCCGCAGCAGCGATGGTCTGCACCGACCGGACAACGACGGTGGAGAAGGACGCGGTGACGCTGGTGGCGCCGGAAATGGCGTCGTCGTCGGCGTTTTGGGCCTTTGGGGCGTCATTACTGTCAGCGCCGCGGTCACTGCCGTTGCCGTAGGTGTCGGCGTCGTCGTCGTCGTCATCAGCCACCGAAGACGCTGAAGACACGGCGGCGAACGCGTCACCGGGCGGCGGTAGGTCGTTGCGGTACTTGTACGCCACCGACTTGCGGACGGAGTAATAAAGGTCGGCCGTCCGGTCAGCTTTCCAGTGACCGTTGCCGGCACCGTCGCCGGGCACGCGCAACCGACACTCCACGTCGACGGTGTTCCGCCGGCGCTGGTGCTGATGCGGCTTGCTGTTCCGGTACTCCTCAGCGTCCTTGAGCGACACCACGCTAGTGGCGCTAACCGCGTACTTTTTGTACTCATCTTCGCCGGCCCTGTTGCCCCTGAACCGGTTCCTGAACGCCTTTGGCTTGGCCGTGGTCGTCGTCGTTGTGGTCGTGGTCGATGTCGTCGTCGACGTGGTGGTCGTGGCGCCGTCATTGGTCTCGTCGTTGTCCCCATCGTCTTCAGTGACCACCGACGTCACGGAATCCAGTGACCTGCACCAGGACAGAAATCAATAACACAGAATAAAAACACCATCAATCAATATAAAGTATAGCACTACATATATTATGTTATTATAATTATTAGATATTATATAATATTGTATTAGTATTATTTTAATATGAATTGACACTCTTAGTAGGTAAACAATGGTTTAGCAATCTTATTTCATAAGTGTCAAGTTCAATCGCCACGGTGTCTAAATAACAATTTAATACCTATGGTACTAAAAACGTCTTGACTGAGAAACAAGAAACAAATATATTATAGAAATATATGCATGGATAAAATTGTGTAAAAGAACAATGGTATTTTGCCAAAAAGATGTGAGCTTTATTTTCTGTTCGATGTTACGGACCTATACGACCGAATTTTACAGTTTATATAAACAAATACATTTTGCGATCATATTTTACACTATCAAAAGTGTCAATGATAAAATTTTTATTTTTATAGGTTTATTATATTATATTCATTCAACTAAAAAGTTGAATGAATAATTTTTAAGTCGCTATCGTAGTTATTACATTTTATTACTGTCACATCAAACAAACCGCAATCTGCGCATAAACTATGCAGCATGACAAGATCGGCTTTCACCCGAAATCGTTTCTACACATTTTTTATATCACAATTTTGATATACTTGATATTTTATACCATAGTATTATTTTCAAGTTAAGAAAATATGTCTTCAATATACGCAACTGATGCTTTTCGAATAACCTAACATATATTCTATATAAAAAAAAAAAATGTGATTAGTTTTTAACGTGTTTACGATCAGGACACGTGTATTTTTCGCTCAAAGGACTACCCTCATAATTACAAAGTAGTTTAACCCACGTAATTGGTATTTTGTAATTGAATAGGGTTTTTGTGTGTGTGTGTGTGTGTGTGATAGAGTGTGTGACGTGCGCGCAGTGTGTGCCATATACCACCATGTTTATTTTGTTGCCGCCAAAGATAATAATCCGGGTAAAACGACAACAGTGACTAACGAATCTACACAGCCACACACATGTGTATTGTTTTATCTACGTTCGAAGGGTGTTTAAACTATGTTATATTCACTGGACTGAATATTACACGTACAAAGTATTGTTTCACATATAACGTCAAATAGTTAATAACGCTATTTCCTACGTCAGAGATAGGCGTATTCGATTGGATTATACATACAGTTCACTATTGTCTGTGCCATTGTTGATTACACTACTATTTTGCCATACGTGTTGAAATAAATTTCATTTGAATCGATCACTTTACGAATTGTGTTGGGAAGTTATTTTTTGGTGTCGAATAATATAATAATTGTGTGGTACCGACTATATGACATAAGCAACCAAAGGTATAAAAATACATAACATTTGCGCCAAAATTAGTAGGACATAAGCGCCAAAAATGTAAAAAAAAGTAATATCATTTGCACTATTATTATACATTTTTTTTATATTTCAAAATACTGAAAACCATCAATAATCTATAATATTATATACTATTTGTAATTGTAAAAATCTATAATTTTATTCATCAAACAAAATGCATAGTTTTATGCGTTTTACGCTACTAGATATATAAAATTTACTTGTCACTAAGGTATAGCTTATTATAAGTAGGTACTAACAATATAATGTTATAGCATAAAAATTCGTAATCAGATAATACGATAATTCGATAATACATTTGTTGATTAACATTATACTTTTGGTGTTTTTGAACGACATACCTACCTAGTTCTAAATTTAATATTAGGAGTGAAGCACATAATGTCATGTATCTGGGATTTTGGCGCTTTTGTACTACACAATTAATTTTTTTCTCATATCGTTTTGGCTCGTATGTTTGTCACTGGTGGTAGGTACTTAAGTGGTAAAATGATAAACCTATTACTTTTAATAATATAAGTGTTACCTTGCATTTCCAAGTATAAAATTATGAAACTGAATTTTATATGAACCCTAATAAACGATACTATTTGTACCTATATCATAGAAATAGCATGTCATATTTCGAATGATTTTTTTTCTCTGTATTAGCTAACAGCTTTCTATTGATAGAATTATAGATTTTTTTTAAGTAACTTTTTACGGTACATCAAAACTATCCGATTTTCTACCTATTATAGCGGGTGACTATTGTATGTATTAAATTTTACTTATGAACGTCACCGGTGTTGAAAAACTCGAAAAAACATGCGTAATTTTGTAGTTAGAATTGCAGAATAGAATTAAACGGTGTTTTTTTTTTTTACTGAATAATTTTACTGTAAACGTAGTAAGTGTGTCCAATCTGCATATTAAAATAATACCTATACAACATAAAATATATAGCATCGTAGGTATATTATAACAATTAGATAAATATCCGCACAATATACGATTTCACTAAAACCCACAGACGTAAAACGCAGAACAAACGTGGTTTTTGATCGCATGCGATGACGACGGCGGAGAGTAAAGTAAATTATAAAATATGTGCACTATAACATTCTTGAGCGATCTTTTTTTGCGAAAAATGGAAACCACTTAGAGTCAAAGAAATTCTCAACCTCAAACATAATAATATTATAGTGCTTTTACCCATGGGCTTATGGAATTTAATTATTTCGGGTGTTTGCAAGCGCGCGTCTTTTCGTCTACATCGCCGATGGGCACGCGTTTTATTATTTTATTATAATCACTGAGCGAGGGCTTGCGGTGAGCAGCAGAAGAGCACGAGGAGGAGTTGTGGGGTGGACGGAAGTAGGAATTATAACTTTGTAGGTATATTAAAAAATGTTTTTTTTTTAGGAAAAAAGTAGAAAACGACGTAAACAAAAGCCGCGAGTATACACATAAAGTAGAAATATACGAGGAGAAAAATAATAATATATTGTTGTAGGTAATTATAAAATACGTACACTCCATTCACCCAAATGCTCATGGATGGCTCGGGGTGCATGCCGGCGGCGTAGCACGTGATGTTGATTTCGGTCGGCCACTTTTTCGGGCCAGTCTGCGGGGCGCTGCTGGTCGTCGGCTCCGTAGTCGTGAAATTCAAATCTCCACCACTGCCTTCTGCGATATCATCCTCGTCGTCGTCGTCGTTATCGTCGACGGATATTTTGAAAATTCGTTCGGGTGCTAAAAAACAATAAAGATATTAAAACCATAAAAATAGTATCTAAGCCCACAAATCCAACTCAGAGATCTTATCTTGAAATTCTGAGATTTTTATTAGTTTATCCTGTGGCAAGTTGAGTTCTGAAGAAAAGAAGTTTCTTATTTTTTGTAAATTATCAATCAGATAGTTGTTTATGAATTATTCTAATTTGTCTAAAATATATCGGAATATATTTGCCTACAAATGTGGGACTCGTGATCTTTTTAGTATAATAACCGTATAGAATGGTAAATATTGATAATAATAACGAGTTTAATTGGATGCCGGATATTTATGAATTATGATTATGGCTGTGACTGAACGAGTCAGGTTCAGTAAACCATCAATCGCATGATGCGAATCAAACATGCGTCACAACTGCAGGTGGTTCTAACTTCTACCCTGGATAGTAAGTTATGTTGTGGACCTTAAGGGTATTTGAGGTGCAGCCATTGAAAGACTGATTTCAACAATAAACGTTGTACCTGCCGTGGGGCTGACAAGTTGTGAAACAGTAAATGTTAAGGAAGTACTTTTTGTAAAAACAAATAAGTTATGACATAACATAATAATAAAACATCGTTTTGAATTTAAAACAAATACATTCCGCCAAGTTTCAATTCATATTATTTGGGATACACGTTAAAACCTACTGTTTAACAATAATAAAATTGTCTATGTATTTGATATTTTGGTCAATAAATAACGCTATTTTCTGCACTTCATTTATCGTAACATAATTATCTATATAATCTTAATGTTGTATACTTGTATGTAAAACCATTAGCCTTCATATCATATTATTCTAAACTTATTGTCATGGACTATTATAGTAAATGAAGATTGATAATTCAGAATTTGCTCTATTGAATTTCGATTTAACATGTTCTGAAAATCATTCTCAGTTCAAAAAAAAAAAAAAATGTTATATTCCACCAACTCTAAGTAATTTATTTATATGATACATAAGTGCGTTCTAAGGAATTCTAAAAATCAGAATTTGAATAAACCTATAGTTAAAGCATAAAATGTAGCACCGTGTTTGATGGATCACCCTATATATTATACTTGAAGTAAAACGTGTTATTTATATAGTATTGTGTGTAAAAAATTCTCTCTGGTGGCCTAAGCCCCGTGGTAAAATACAAAGTTTACAAATCCGAACGAGGTAGGAGTTGTACACTTGTACCTACCTATATATAATATAAATGTTACGGATATGTAGATTTCAGATATTTCCGTGAAATGCAAATTTATGATTATAATATTGTATTTTTCGAATGACGATGGGACGTTCTAAAACGCGGTAGGACGTATAATATTATATCATATAGTTCTCCCTCATGCACACAGTGCACGCACAAGCTGTCCCTGGGATATTATTCCGTGTTTTTTAATAGTCATTTGTTTGCGTAATAATCTGTGTACAAAAAAGAAAATCCTAATATATGTGCAATATTAATCTATATGACTATATGTACAGGAATTTACATTATACATAGGTACGGTATACATACATTATAATATTGATGCATAAGCAATATTCATATTATACGTATATATATATATATATATTTACTTGGTAAGTATATTGTATGCACTATACAAATATATATATATATATTATAATACTGTTCTTGTACGATTACCGTGTACTTACGGTTGCATAAATGTTATGTTCTACCTTGTACACACAAAATTTCGCACCTCTTGTACCTATATACTATGTAAGAGCAAAGACAATCGTAAAAGAAATTTTCCAAAATAACACCAATACACGCGCTATTGATACCTAAATATCCAATATATCTACAGATGAAATTTGTTTACTCCGTTTATTTGTTTTTATTCAACGGTGTTTAGCCGCAATGGTTTGGTGTTTTTAAAATTAACAGGTACACTGGTACATGATATTATTATTAGGTATATAAGGTATATATTGGTACCGTCTTAAAGGCATAATGAAAATTGTTTTTGAAAGCAAATGATAACGAATAACGTTACTGTTGTATATCTATGGCCAGCACTATTTGCATACTCAAACCAATTATATACGAGTATAATAGTATACTGTATACATATACCTGAATATCCGCATATAGGTATATAGGTATTGAGCTATCTACTATAGCTGTCGTGTGTGTAAACATCGGGGTCCGTTGTTTTTTTAGCATATTATATATTACGTCGAGAGAAAGGAGTGTTTCTGCAACGCACCGTAACCGATAGGGTTGGTTTGTGAAAACAACATACGTCTTACGGTAGTCTTGTAGACGGAACGCGTTTATAAGAAAGAAAAAATGTATACAGAAAAACAAAAAAAAAACACATCGAGTGATCGGCGGGGATTATACACTCTGATCGATTCATACACGTCGGCTATACAGTGAATAATAATATTATGCTATACGTAGATAACTTTATAATTATAGCCGAGCAATAATAGATATGCGTGTCTAGAAAGTTTGCAGAGACGCTAAATTTTCCGTGTAAAGTCAACCCGCGATAGTACTTAGCAGCAGTTGTAGGTAGGTACATAATATGACGTGTAGTCTTATGCAAATATATAGATATATTTACATAAAACGAATGGTTAATTAAATTAATCTCGGCGTGTTATCACATATAGGTATATAGATACCGTGAGCGATCAACCAGGCCGCCGTATACGAATAATCTCGGGGTTCCCAAACTTTCTATACGCTCTACAATATACGTATGTAATATTACCAATGTAATATTTATGTGTGTATACAGTATAGGTATACTCGTAATGGTATACATAATATTATAAAGTAACGGCGGCTCAGAAGCTACGAACTGAGTCTTGAACGCAATATAGTTATATCAAATATATATGTATATATATATATATACTGTACATATATATGTGTGTGTGTGTGTGTGTGTGTGTGTGTGTGGGTGTGGGTGTGGTGGGTGTGTGTCCCCACAGCAGGAGCTCTGGGATGACGTGCACACGACAACGCCAGACATTTTCCACAAGACGTTTTCCGATGCGTTACAGTCATTTCTACGATCCTATTTCATCTCAAAAAAGTAACGAAATAAACTATACTATAGGTACATATTATAAATTATAATGATATATATTATTTTTTGGTGCTGCAGAAATGATAGGTTGACATGCGATTATATAAAATGTGGTATATTGATATTTATATATATACTATATGTAGTATAGTGATAAACTATAAAGTCCCTTCACAGACACCTAAAAATGCAAATATATGTATGTAGGTACTTTGAAATTATGTATAGCAAACTAGTATTTTACATTATGTTAAAATCAAATACATAATGTCACAAAATTAATTAATATGTCTTTTATCTGTAGAGAACTGTTAATTTGATATATAATTATTAAATTATATAAGCTCAAATGCTTGGATATTAGACATAGATCTAAATTAATTTTGTTTTATCATTATTATAGGTACCTACCTATTATTATGATATATATTTTTTATTATTTATATAAGCGTTTATATGTGCAGTATACTCACAGGAGTTAAACATGTAACGATATCAATAAAAAAAAAAAGACTTAGGAAGTCACTTCGCTAAATAGAAGATTTCCTGTTCCCCATCATAGAGCAGATCTCTGGAATGGTTATTTTAAATTTAAATTTAATAATCAATTATTGCATACGAAAAAAGGATTCTAAGCTCATCTCCAATCGTGTGTCCCTTAGCCTCTATTTTTTAGATAACACTTTATATTTGATCTATAAAAATATATCCGAATCATTCAATATTTTAACATTAAACACTTAAAAAAGAATGTTCCTATGTATTTTTGATAATTATAATCCACTGTTCTCGTAAGAATAATTTATGAGGAACCTTGTATTCAATTAAAAGCTTATTTATTCCCACTATAAAAATTATATCATACATTCATTCAGTCCTTATAAATCTAAATAATTTAAAATATGGTCCTTGAGAGATATATTTGAAAATTTCAATAATCAGAATTTGAAGGAATATATTATGAAAGGAAAAATTGAGATTGTGCATGCTTGGTGATTATTGGGTAAATATTATAATATGTAAAATTATTGTCTATTGATGTACCTAAATGTATATTTATTACAAGTGATTTGTAAATATTTAAATATACCAACTTAGTAGAAGAGTGTTAAGGAGATGTCCACACATATTAATAAGGAGAAAATATAAGTGCTCCCCCACAAAAAAAAAAAAAAAAATTGGTCCTAGTTGCGCCTATATCCCCCCCCCACCCATAAGTACCAATGAAATCCGATATTCTACCAGAAATCACCTTGAAAGATGGTTGAAGTTGATCAAAGTTGCATTTTCCTTCTTTGCTCATAAAAGTAACGAAAATAAAAAAAAATCGCATAATATGATAGTTGTAAAACGAATAGGTACATTTATCGCTCCGTTCAAAATCTAAATTATGGTTGATTCACCAGTTTATCGAAAATTGCCAGACATAATACACAATGAACTCACGTCAACCGACAACCCACCGGATGAAAAATAAATGAAACTATAACATCCTTTGTTTTGTAGGCCATTCACTATATAGTTTGGCTACAAGCTGTAATGCTGTAAACTATCTGTAAATTACCAACAGTTGCGTTCTAAAAACGATTCTAGTTTTGCGGTTTATCTCGATTTTCCTATTCAATAAGCGTTTAGAAAATCCTCAAATCACATTTTTATTTTTGTAAATTTCGATTTTATTACACGTTCATGAATTAGGTTAGGTAAGGACTAAATTTACTCGTTATATTAAACGTGAGTATTGTTCATTAAATATGATCATAAATATATCATAATGTATTCATTAAATGTAATAAGCACTCACAAATAAAAATAAAAACACATTAGTATTGGTACGAATCGCAAAACTAATACCATATTTTTATATTATAGTTATTACTTATTAATATATTACTAAATTTGTTGATGGTACTCACTACTCGCGTTATCG